TGAGGAGGAGATGTGTAACGATGTTTTGAGAAAACGAGTGCATGGATTACGGGGATCGTGAGGTGTCTCTCTCTCTTTTTTTCCGTTATGCTTGCGCTCCTTTCTCTCTCTCTATGTGGGATTTGAGTATGTATGAGAGATGCATGCGCGTGATCTTGCTCCTTCTTTTGTGAATCTCTCTTGCGTGGTAACCGTCGTAATTTGTTACTGGAATGGTGGCTACGGGAATCGGCGGACTTCAGTGAGGAATAGAGGTATGCAGCCGAGTGAGCTGAGTCATCGAATTGGATCCGCCATCCAGCGCGACGTCGAGATGGACCAGGCGTTCAGGCTGTTATCAACCTCGGTGTTCGCGATGTATTGATGAAGGAACGCCGTATTGGCACATTCGGCATCCGAAGTATCATCGCAAGGGCGATAAGACGTTCTTGAGGTAGTAATAGGCAGCGTAGCGTCGAAGGAACAAGATCCGGGAATCAAGAAGAAACCCTGTAATGTGATCGTTTATAGGGAGGTGGTAACGTATGATCCGGACCGTGATAAGGAGCCTGGCGAGAATCGGATGTGCAATCACTGTAGTTATCGGGAGCGTCGTCGTGATTCGAAATATTAAGGAGCAGGTTAAGGGATCAAAGTGGATTGTAGATTTATACATTCGTTTCACCTGGGAAGTTAGGGAGAAGCAAGGGTAGACATGAGTACTAGAAACTTTAGAGATTTAGAGTTTGAAAGACAGTTTATTGAATTTCAGAATTTGCTGGAAGAAACATTAGTACCCGTATTTTTTGTGGCATTACACTTTAGAGACGAGCAATCCAAGGAGAAAACGATTAACATTTTCGAAAGAATACTAGGGAGGCTTCATAGCATTGGGTGTTTAGTACGGGATTTAGAGAGCAAGGAGGAAAAGGCAAGCAAGGAGGAGGAGATAGAATGGCAGGGCAGCAACAACAATTCGGCGTGCATCCACTTACTTATCCTAATGGAGTTCCTCCACCCGTCGCTGGTGGAACGCGGCAGGGAACGGTGGTGTGTTATTAGTGCGGTAAGTATGGACATTATGCGAGAAATTGTTCGGCAGTCGGCAATGGGCGGCAATCGCAGCAGTACCAGCAGCAAGCGGTCCAGAGAAACGACGACGACGAGACGAGTGAAATGAAGACATATTTTCGGAGGAAGATTCAGAAGCAGAAGGTGGAAGAAGAGAAGAGGATGAGGGAGGAAAAGGAAAAGCAGAGGAAGGAAGACGAGGAAAGGAGAGAGGCAGATCGCTTAAGGGAGGCCGAGGCGAGAGAAGCGAAACTCGAAGTGAAGTTGATTAAACTGATGAGCCAACATGCCAGACCTGGTAGTGTCTCAGCACCTCCGATAGTGAAGAAGAAATCTCCACGGACCAAAGCGCGTATGCTCAGGGAGATTAAGAGTTATTTCGATGAATCAGAGGATGACAGCGAGGAAGTGAGAGAGGAGGCGGAACGTTTAGTTGATGCCATAGAGAAGAGGAAAGGGAAACGACGGATAGGAGAGGGGGAAGGAAGGCTGTCAGCTGTGAAGCTGCGAACGACGAGAGCGGTGCCAATCGATGTCGACAAACTACCCGATGATGAGTGGACACCTCCTACAAGGAAACGAAGTGCGGAGGAAGGAGCACGTAAAGAAAATGTTTTGGAATTTGCGCTGGATCTGCATCAGAGATTGTCATCCATTAAAGCTCCAGAACTTAAGAAGATGTGTAGCGAGGAAGGCATAAAATGGACGAAAAAAGAGAAGGTAGTTACGAAACTGGTACGATGCCGAACGAAGTTGGTGTACGGAGAAAGGACCGGTGGGAAAGCTGAATCATTGTCGGAGAGGTAAGTGCACAAACATATGGATTACATGGAAGTTTTGGCTCGGACAATGAGCGACGACGCGAGAGTGGGAGCATTTGGGAGAGTGGTGCTTCAACATGAGCGAGAAGAGTACATCGCCAGGACATTTATTTTAGTCGTGATCAATGGTTGTTGTCCATGGGCAAGAAGATGGGTGGGAATAATCGGGGAGGGGAAAGGGGGCTTGTCTACTCAAAACTCGGGCGTATATGGGTTGGTGAGCCCGTGCTGTAGGCACTTCTACATAGGATGTACAACTAGGAGCTTCTTAGTAAGATGGATGTAACACGTGAAGTTCGCCACGAACGGGAAATGTGGGAGCGCACCGAAAGTACATCTGTGGCTGAGAATGTTCGGGTGGAAGAGATATTTGATTCTACCTTTAGTGGTAGACGTAGGAGAACCGTGGATCATTGAAAGGACACTCATAAAACGTTATTCACCGTTTTGAACGTTCAAGGGAAAACGGAGGGAACCAGGAAGAATAGAAGGAGGAAAGGAAGGAGAGAAAGAGGGAAGTGAAGGATGTATGCGAAGCAAGGGAAGGTGATTGTATTCAATGGTAAGGCATCACTGGTAGATTTACTTAAAGCGCAACCGAGACCAACAGAGATCGAATCCACGGGAGGAAAAATATGGGCCGATAGCTGGAAGAAGGTCCGGAGTATAGTTGGGGAGAGCATGATACAAGCAGCCGGGAGGAATTGGTGCATCAGGGAATGCAAAGCAGATCTAGAAAAGGGAGGGAGGTTCGTGATCATTAGGGTGAAGGTGACGACATCTGGAGCGGAATGGCGGAAGAATGTGCTGAACGAGATCCTAAGACGACCCTGGAAGGTTAGGGAGCTTTACCGGAGGAACGGGCGGGAACTTCTCGCGCTCTACAAATCAGCTTCTACTTTTGCCAGGAAAACTACCAGGTACCTATTGAAGAATAGAGTAACCCGGGTAGTGAGAGTAGTGTTCGGTACGGAGATCAGAAAGCGTCCTTTGGTGAAGGTGTCGTTCTCAGTGAAGATCGATAGGGGGAAGGTGAGGGATATCACGGCCGCGACCGTGAAACGGGTCATAGATAACCCGAAAATTGGGGAATATGTAGCTCAGAGGGTGCGCGTGGTATTCAAAAAGAATATGACCGTGGGTCAGATACTCCATGGGCAGCGCATATGCGTCGACGCCAAGGAAGTGAGATGCACGTGTCAGGAATCTGCGTTACCGAAAATTCAGGGCCATGTGAAGGTAAGGGTCGACGATATCCCGCGAACGCCAAAATTTGTGATGAACTCGTGCAATGTGACGTACGGGGATGAGGTGTCGCTCGGGACGCTTAGAAGGTGCGTTATCGAGGCACTGAGAGCATGGAGTAGGGGCAGAGTGGTTCGGGTTCAGAAGGGGGAATTGACAGGGTGTTACGTAGAACGATCACAAGGGGGATGTCGAGCAATGAGTGCACAACAGGTGAGAGAATGGCCGAGAGAATTTGCATCATTAGTTGCAGTTCCAATTGATTGCAATTCCGGGGGGACGCTTGTAGTGTGTCCATTGTTATATCATCATGCGTGCAAACTCACGTTTAATTGGAATGTCAGTTTCGTACCGGTCCAAGAATCAGAAGAACAAGTTCTGAAGGATATGAGGAGGAGGTATGAGAGAGAAGGAATGAGTACGATAGCCACATGGGGTAAAGGAGGGAAGATTGGACGTGCGTACGTTTTGCCCAAGGACAAAGATCTGGGAAGGTGGAGACCTATATCGCCGGCCGCCAGCGATCCAGCAAGACTGGCAAGCTCGAGAATTGGGCGAGCTATCCGATACATGACTTTTGCTGTAGGTGATCATCTGCACTTCGATCTACGATCCACATATGAATTGAGGGAGAAGTGTGAACAGATTCAGAGGGATCTGAAACCGGAATGCGTGATTGCGTATGCCCAAAGTTTTGATGTGAAAGACACGTTTGCGAGGCTATCACATGGAAGCGTGCTGGAAGCAACCAGATGGTTAGTCGATCATCATCATCAGAGGAACTTAGTTGGTGTGAGGGTGAGTCGGAGGGGGAAGATATGCATGATGGCCAGGAATCAAAGGAAGAGTGAGGGTTTCATTCTCATAGAATTTTAGCAGATTCTGAGAGCAGTAAGCTTTGAACTTGAGAATACTTTCACTATGTGTGCAAAAGAATTCGGAATTCCCATGGGGCGGAATTCCAGTCCTGCACTAGCGTGTTTAGTATATGCAAGGTCGGAAGCCGTGTTTCTTAGCTCACTTGGGCGAGATCAGAGGTTCATCAGAGGAATGAGAATGATCGATGATGTGGCAATGATAGTGCGGTTAGGAAGCGAGGACGAGGATGCAGAGAGGAAAGCGGAACGGATTATGCACAACTTTGAGTCGTGCTATGATGAGAGTTTGAACCTCGTGAGGAAGGACGAAGGATCGAATGTTCTGGATTTCCTGTGTACTAAGGTGCTTGTGGACGTGGATCCTGTGTGCATACATGTGCACCCAAAGACGAGGAATCAGCGGATCCTGGTAGAATCGGGAAGCACGAGGATACACTCCATGCAAAATTTTCATTCGTTCTCAAAGAAGTCTACAAAAAGGGCGAATCTTGTTGCAAGTATGATGAGGGCAAGGAGGTTGTCAACTTCCGACGATGCTACTCTAGCGAAAGTAACGGCGGTGATGATGGAACCGAACCTCCGAGGTTATCCCTCGGAGGTCTCTCTCGGAGCTTTGGCAAGGTTTGCCAAATTGTCTGGGAGTCACTGGAAGGCTACGCTTTCCAGTATGTACCTCGGACTGTGGAGACATTTTGAGGGCTACTAGAAAATACGAGCATGAGTTTCGGGTTCATGTACACTAATTAGGATGGATGAAATGAGCGGTACAGGTAAGGGTAGGATCGATGGGTATAACAAAAAATTGGGACTAAGGGTTGTACCGGGTAAGGGCTGAAGTGTAATTGGGGAGTAGTAAGAGGGTCCGAATCGTGTGGGAGGTAGGATAGAATAGAAAAATAGGGAAGCAGGAACGCCTGCGAGAGGTTTTGGTCACGTGGGAGGTTTACGGAAAAGAAACTCTGCTGTGACCAGCGAACGGATTACGGATCTAAGTATGGATCTGTCGGGGAAGAAAGGAAAAGACCACTGGTGAAGGAAGCAAGACGGGAACGACGCATAGGAAAACATAGTATGGCTGAAGAAAGAGGAGAAGTGGCGGAAGGAGAAGGGGAAGACGATAAGGGAGAGGCAGAGGCAATGGTTGGCATGACAGGGAGAAGGAGTGGATACAGGCGACAAGGATCTGAGAGAATACTGGAAAGAGATGGACCAAGTGGCAATTACCGGACAAATGCAGACAGACAGGGTAATCGGGGTGACGCAGACGTACAAGCGGCGAGGGAAGGTAAGGGTAGAGGTAGGAATAGGATAGGAGCTTCTCGGAAATCCCAGGTGAGATAGATGGTTATGATCCCGTACAGGGATAGCGGGATGAGTACTTAAAGGTGCGATGATTGAAAGATGTCATCTTGGGATCTATGACCCGCTAGTCTCTGTGAGTTTGGCCCCCTGAAGAATTTGTCGAAGTACGCCGACAACGAAACGCGTCGGGGCAGTGCGTATTGAGGAGGAGATGTGTAATGCATGGATTACGGGGATCGTGAGGTGTCTCTCTCTCTTTTTTTCCGTTATGCTTGCGCTCCTTTCTCTCTCTCTATGTGGGATTCGAATATGTATGAGAGATGCATTGCGCGTGATCTTGCTCCTTCTTTTGTGAATCTCTCTCTCTCTCTCTCTCTCTCTCTCTCTCTCTCTCTCTCTCTCTCTCTC